TTTTTTTTTTTTTTTTTAATCCCTGGCCAATTCAGCTCTTCCTTTGGCTGTAATGGCTTGGAGTGTGGGTCCCCTGGATTGGGTGCAGCTCTTCCTCCTCAGTGCTGTCTGTACTTCCCCTGTATCCCCCATCAGGGCCTGTGGTCAAGCTGGGTTACTGGGTTTTTTTCTCTGTGGGTTGTGTTGTGTGGTCAGGGCTGGTTAGATGGTTCAGCCAGGAATATATCAGACCCCAGCCCACCTAGCCCCAGCTCTTCTCCTTGTGCCCTCAGGAGCTAGACATGAGTGACTTTGAGGAGCAGTTCAAGACTAAGTCCCAGGGTCCCAGCCTAGACCTCAGTGCCCTCAAGGGTAAGGCAGCCCAGAAGGCCCCCAGCAAGGCCACCCTCATCGAGGCCAACCGGGCCAAGAACCTGGCCATCACCTTGCGCAAGGGCAACCTGGGGGCTGATCGCATCTGCCAGGCCATCGAGACGTGAGTACTTCTGCTCTGGGATTGTAGGTAGCCCAGCCCCTCTACTAAACCAGGGTCATCAAGTACCTAGTAAGAGAGTCCCAACTACGGGACAGAGCCCATCAAACTTCATGCTAACCCTGGTCAGGGAGTAAGCTTGGGAACCTTGTTCCCATTTTCAGGCTGAGAAAATAGCCTATGCTGTGAGTCCACGCCCAGACTGAGATGTTCCCATTTCCTCCCTGCCTCCTTGCCCAGCTATGGGAACTCAGGCTCCGGCATTTACAGCTGGGCATCTGCCACTGACCTATGATAGGGACCTCAGGCTTCCCAGCTCCCAACTTCCCTTGACACCTGCCTCTTGGTCCCTGAAGCTGTTGGCAAATAGTGAATACTGAAGTTCATTTATTCAGTCAAGGAAATGGAGGGGGGGACGTAGTCCTGCCTCAAGAACTGGTGGGTATAGAGTGATAACTACCCCGCCTTTCACCAGGTACGACCTACAGGCCCTTGGCCTGGACTTCCTGGAGTTGCTGACCCGCTTTCTGCCCACGGAGTATGAGCGTAGCCTCATTGCCCGCTTTGAGCGGGAGCAGCGACCCATGGAGGAGCTGTCGGAGGAGGATCGCTTCATGCTACGCTTCAGCCGCATCCCGCGCCTGCCGGAGCGCATGGCCACGCTCACCTTCCTGGGCAACTTTCCGGATACTGTGCAGCTGCTCATGCCGGTGTGGGCGGGGCAGGCAGAGCGGTGTGGGCGGGGCGGGGCGGGGCAGGCAGAGCGGTGTGGGCGGGGTGGGGCAGGACTGGCAGAGCGGTGTGGGCGGGGCGGGGCAGGCAGGGCAAGCGGGGCACTGTGTTCTGGGTTGGGGTTGCGGAGGGGGGCAGCTACTAGCCTCCAGGGCGGCATTTAGGGGTACTTGAGCCTCCCATGGGCTTGCCTCCCACCCTGCCCCAACTTACCTTACCTCCCCAATCCGCCCCTCCCAGCAACTGAATGCCATAATTGCAGCCTCAATGTCCATCAAGTCCTCTGACAAACTCCGGCAGATCCTGGAGGTGAGAGCCCAGGGCAAGGGTCTGGGAAGCGGGGCCCACCTATGGCTCCTTGCCCGTTCTGGGTCGTGTGAGAGGGAGACCCGGGCCTTGCTCTGTCTGTACCCTTGGGATGCAACAGTTATGTTCTTAGCGCTCGCATACACGGAAAGACAAAACTAAGGCAGGGGTGGCCTAAGGGCGGAGCCCCCTCTGGGGATTACTGTGTGATTAGCATAGTACCCAGGCCTGCCTAGCGGAGTCTCAGGGAACCAGTAGAAAGACCATGATACTACAGCCTAGGCGATGTCAGCAGCACCATTTGGGGTAGGAATGGCAGAGGACAAAATTGGGTATGCCAAGGGGCACCTGGCTGGCTCAGTCCATTGAGCATGTGGCTTTTTTTTGTTGTTGTTGTTGTTTATTTAAGAAATCTCAACACTGAACATGGGGCTGAAACTCACAACTCTGAGATCAAGAGTCACATGCTTCTCTGACTGAGCCTGTCAGGTGCCCTGAGCATGTGACTCTTGTTCTGGGAGTTGTGGGTTCAAACCCTACATTGGATGTAGAGATTACTTAAAAATAAAGTCTTTAAGGGGCACCTGGGTGGCTCAGGTGGTTACGTGTCTGACTTTTAGTTTTGGCTCAGGTCATGATCTCATGGTTCATGAGTTCCAGCCCCGCCTCGGGCTCTTCGCTGACAACGCAGAGCCTGCTTGGGATTTCTCTCTCCCTCTCTCTCTCTGCCCCTCCCCGGCTTACTCTCCCCCTCTCTCAATAAATAAAAAAAAAAAAAAATCTTAAAAAAAAAAACGGTACGCCATGCATTGTGTTAGCCATATGCATATGTCAGACATATATACAAGCATGTACATGTGTCCTAGACCTGAAGGGGCCATGCAGGAGAGGGGTGGGGGCTGAGTGTGTGGGGCTTGCTTTTCACCACATTTTCTTGTGCAACTTATACTCGGGAGGGTTTCCTCAGCCCCGGCAACCTCCTGAACTCTCCCCCCTGCCTCTCCCAGATTGTCCTGGCCTTTGGTAACTACATGAACAGCAGTAAGCGTGGAGCAGCCTACGGCTTCCGGCTCCAGAGTCTGGATGTGGTGAGGGGCACAAGGAGGGGTTCCCAGGCATGGGGGATGGGGGACAGCTGGTGGCCTGTGGCTTACAACAGGTCTTCATGCAGCTGCTGGAGATGAAGTCGACTGACCGCAAGCAGACGCTGCTGCACTACCTGGTGAAGGTCATTGCTGAGAAGTACCCACAGCTCACAGGCTTCCACAGCGACCTGCACTTCCTGGACAAGGCAGGCTCAGGTATGGGTGCAGGTGCCCTGTCCTCCTTGGGTGGGGGCAGGGGCTCGGCCCTGGGGACTGATACGGGTTGAGAGAAAAGGGACCACAGGGTGTAGTTAGACGGGAATGCTGCCTGATTCCCTGCTTCTGTACTGCTCCCCCTCCCCCACTCAGTGTCCCTGGACAGTGTCCTAGGGGACGTGCGCTCCCTACAGCGAGGCCTAGAGTTGACCCAGAGAGAGTTTGTGCGGCAGGACAACTGCACGGTGCTCAAGGAGTTCCTGAAGACCAACTCCCCCATCATGGATAAGCTGCTGGCAGACAGCAAGACTGCTCAGGTGGGCCAGCGCTGGCCTGGAGGTGGGGAGGCTGTGGGGTTGTGGAAGAAAGGTCTGGAGGGGCATGGCCACAGCAGTGGGGGATGGGGCAGGAAGGCCCACCTGCCTGGAGGGGCAGAGATGAAGTGGCTGGTGTCTTAAAGGGGCACAGAGCCTGTAGGGGTCCGTGCTGGTGGGCCTGACAGGCTGTGCCCACAGGAGGCCTACGAGTCTGTGGTGGAGTACTTCGGAGAGAACCCCAAGACCACATCCCCCTCCATGTTCTTTTCCCTCTTCAGCCGCTTCATCAAGGCCTACAAGGTATGTGTGTCTGGTGGGCAGGCTGGGACCCCTGCAGGGCATTGTGGGGGCTCCTCCACATTGCGGTGGAAAGCAGAGGGGATGCTTCTGTCTGGGGGTGGGCGAGGACCCCCCCCTCATGGACACCCACTTTGGCCCCTCAGAAAGCTGAGCAGGAGGTGGAACAGTGGAAGAAAGAAGCGGCAGCCCAGGAGGCGGGCGCTGACGCCCCAGGCAGAGGGGAAGTCCCAGCATCCAAGGTAGGTAGCTGTGCCTGAGCCTGGCACTTGCTTGCAGTGATCCTCACCCCAGAGATCTGGCCCTCTTCTATACTCTCATTTCTGGGAACAGACCCTGCCTGAGGTGAGCACGGTGCCCCAGTAGCCTGGGGTGGGTGGGAATGGGTTCCTTCCGCTCGAGCCGGTTGTTGGTGCTGCGGAAGGACCAGGAAGACACGTGTTCTAGCATTTCGTGGCCTGGGGAGAGGGGATCCTGGAGCTGGAGCTATATACCTTCCATTACGCCCCCTGTCCCCCCCACAGTCACCACCCAAGGCCCGGCGGCAGCAGATGGACCTCATCTCTGAGCTGAAGCGGAAGCAGCAGAAGGAGCCACTTATCTATGAGAGTGACCGCGATGGGGCCATTGAAGATATCATCACAGGTGAGGGTTTGGCTGGGCCTGTCCTGTCCTCTGTCCATCTAATGCTGTCCTCCACCCCCTCTACCCCACCCTAGGGGTCTGGCTGCCTTACTGCCTCTTGCTACTTTTTCTGTCTTTTTTCTTTTTTCCTTTCTCTCCTCCCTCCTGCCTCCCAACCTTCAGTGCTCAAGACGGTGCCTTTCACGGCCCGCACCGGCAAGCGGACATCCAGGCTCCTCTGTGAGGCCAGCCTGGGAGAAGAGATTCCTCTCTAGCCCCCAGGTACCTGGGTAGCCTGGCCTCTGATCCCAGAGGCTGCCCACAACTCTGGGGGGCCTTGGGGGACTGGGTCATGCCGTCCTCCCCTTGGGCCATGCATGGCTGGGATAGGTTTGAGCGGGGTCTGGTAAACATAAACAGGTCCCTTCCTACATGCACACAACCTGGATCCCTAGAAGGGTGAGGCCTCTGCCCTGGAGCTGTGGTCTTAGCCCCATGCAGACTTCTGAAAGATAAATGTCTCTCCTCTTGGCTGCCAGATCTGCGGAACCAGCCCTACATCCGCACAGACACAGGCCGCAGAAGTGCTCGCCGGCGCCCCCCGGGACCCCCCCTGCAGGTCACCTCGGACCTCTCACTGTAGCTGCTACTTCAGCAGATGGACTCAGTGGGGGATGAGGGGGGCAAGCTGGGGCTCGAGGAAGGTGGTCCTCAGCTCGGCTGGGCCGGGCAGCCCCCTCTGCGGCTGCGTTGGGCCCACCTCAAGTGGTTGGGCGCGCGGGGGCGTGGGGCGGGGGGCAGCATCGCCGGCCCCTCCCCCAAATGCTGCTTGCGGCACCCCTCTTCCCCTAATAGCCATACTTAGCCTCAGCGGCAGCCTGGCCTGTAACTTATAAAGTGCAACCTCGCGCCCCACCCCCAGCTCCAGGAACTCTCCATGGACCTTATTTTTATACAAGATTAATAAAGATATTTGCAAAAGATCCTTGTCCGCTCTGTGCCTGCCCCATCACACGCAGCCTGTTTTTCTCCGCAAACGCTTTACTTGTACACGTTTTTCATAGCAGATTTCTGCAAACAGGCTGGCGAAGGGGAGGAGGGCTGCTTCTGCACTAGAGTTGGGGGCGAGGGAGCCAACTTCGAGGGGCGCACGTGGTCTGCTGGCTGGCCCACGAACTCTGTGGGAGGGCGGAGGGGTCGTGCGGAGGGTCAAGCCGGCAGTTCCCGTTAGAGACTGGATTAGCCTTTCTACCCGCTCAGTCCCATTTCTGCCAGTCCTGCCTCCTACCTGGGTATCCTGCCCCTTTTTCGTAGGCTCTGCCCTACCCTTGGTCACGCCCCCGAGTGATCCCGGATTACTTCTCCGTCTGCCTGGTTCCGGTTTCTTGGGAGCCCAGCTCCCACTCTACTCCTGTCCTCCCCGTGTCGGCACCTTCTCCACTCTGCCTGCCCCGCCCCTATCCACAGCCCCGCCCCGCCCCTCCTCGCCTCGCCCCCTTTATCTGCTCTCACCGGCGCTGAGAGACCCTTGGTTGGGCCCAAGCTTGCGGCTGCTGGGCTGGCAGGACTTGAGAAGTCGGACGTTAGGGCGCGGGGCTCGTTTCTGCCTCCTGTTTTCTGGCGGTGTCTGCCTCGCCAAGTTAGGGATCTGAGAGTAGGGGCTGCGCGCACCTGGACCGGGCAAACCGGTAGGAGAAAAGGAGAGATTAGTCCTGACAGCAGGTCCTGAGTGAGGGTCCCCCCCCCCCCCCCCCCCCCCCCCCCCCCCCCCCCGCGCCTCCAGCGGGTTCCTGCCCGGCCCGGGGCGCACCTGCTTTGTTTAGTCTCTGCAGCGAGAGCTCCAGCTCATTGCTGGAGAGGCCGCTGAGGCGCGCGGCCTGGCAGAAGAAGGTGAGGCCCCCGGGAGCGCCCGCGGAGCCGCTGTGGTCACGCCACCGGTCCTTCCAGCCTGGGTTCGGCCGCAGAGCCCGCTGCTTCTTGGTGTAGTAGCTTGAAGGAGAGAGAGGGGCAGCCTTCTCGGACACCGCCTCCCCCAGTCCTCTCCATCTCATAGGTGGGGAAACCAAAGCAGGACAGGAAGCCACTTGTCTCTGGTCTGGGGCAAGTTGGGACCCAGGAAACTGACTCAGAATTCAGGGCTCCCGTCTCTGCGGCAGGAACTTCAGGGGACCCCTGCATGGGGCAGAGTCTGCCCCTCCCCAATCCTGGGCCCTGAAGTTGGGGACTCTGTGCCTACCTCATCACTTCCTGCACCAACTTGTGGGGGACAAAGCCCTGGCTCATCAGCTTGAACAGAATCTCTAAGAACAGGGTCTGTAGGCCCTGGGGGTCATAGAACCGGCTGTTCCTCGCCTGGCCTGGGAGCAGAGATCATGGGGGAGGGTGAGGAGGAACCTTCCCCCAGGCCAGGCCATTCCCACCCACTGCCCTTGCTCCTTACCCAAGCACTGAGCCAGGCGGTAGCTGTCGGTAAGGACACCCAGGAAGTCTTTGAAGCTTACAGTTCCATCACCTGGGAAGAGAGAGAGGAGGGGGTCCTGGGGGCGCCTCCCCTGCAGAAGGCCTACACCACATATGCTTTAGGGGCTTGCCTGCAGTTCTTTCTGGACATCAAAGACTCTGGTCCCACTTCTAGCCAAACATCAACCCCAGCTGAATAGGGGAGAAAAATAGTCCTTGCCCTGCGGGGAGCCCCAAGTCAGGATGAGTATTAACACAGCAGAAGTGTTTAGGGGCTATGAGATAGATGTGTTGATCAGAGCAGGCTTCCTGGAAGAGGGGATTTAAAATAGGACCAGGCCAGGGATTCTGTGGGCAGAGGAGGCAGCCTCCAGGGCTAGAAGTGGGGGAGGACAAGCGGCCAGGGATGGGGGCACCCACCGTCCGGGTCTGCCTGCCGCAGAGCCTCACACATCTCCTGAGGGCTCAGCTGGATACCCATGTGGCGCAGGGCAGCTCTCATGCTGCGCATGTCCACAGTGCCTGTCGGGCTGGGGCTGAACAGTTTGAAGATCTCCTGGAACGCTGGGGGCAGGGAGGGAGGCCGGCAGCAAGGTGAACCGCACACGGGGGCCCAGAGATCCACCCACTCCAAGCTCAGAATGGGACTGAATCACTCCAGGCTCGGGTCACTCCAACCCCTGGGGCATTATAGCATTTAAAGAACAGCAGTGGCTGCTGTGTGTAAAGTCCCCATTCAATTCTCATGTCCCAGACTCATGTTCGGATATGCCTGTGTGAAAAAACATTCAAAACTTATGTCAAAGGTCACACCAGCAGTAGGGGCAAGCCTGGGCTTTGGACCCTGGCAGTCTGGCTCTGGAGCTGGGATGCTCTGGGGCTCCAGGGGCCCTGCTGGCACCCGGCATGCAGCGGGCACTGAAAATTATTGATGGTGAGTAAAATGATTCTGCTTTGAGGGATCCTGCCACTATTAGGGCATGACGTTAGAGGGGGCGTTGGGGTCCCCAAATGTAGAAGTGGTTCCTTCTACCCCTAACCCCACTGCCCCAGACCCCAGGGGGGTGTGGAACTCAGGTTAATTTTTTTCCCTTCCTTTCTCCCAATCTCCTTCCTCCCTTCCTCTTTCCATCCTGTCCATCCATCCATCCATCCACCCACCATCCAAATACCTTTTTATCCACCAATCCATTCCTACACACACACACACACACACACACACACACACACACACCAGTGAGCCCTGGAATTGTAAAGATTAGCCAATTAGACTGGCATTGAAAGACAGTTACAGTATGGTCACTAACTTCTCACAGTGACCCCAGCCTCTGGAGGAGGCAACCCCTTGCAGTTAGGCTCCAAGCATTCCCTAATTTTCCACCCCCTGCCCCCCACCCCACCCCACCTCCTGCTCCTAACTCTGGGGCCCTCACCTGCCAGCTGCCGGGGTGTCATGGGTAGCAGGTTCTCGTCTGCACAGCTGCTTCTGCTTCGGGTGGAAGAGGTTGGAAAGGCCTTTACACCTGCTGCAGAGAGATGCCAGGGCCAAGCAGGCCTTGCCCCAGACCCAGCACCCCAGGCCTGGTCTCTAGTCCCTGCCCTTACCTCTGAGACCCAGAACCTGAGCCAGACTGCACCAAACGGGTAGCTGCAAGGCGCTTGCACTCCCTGGCCCTCGGGGAAGCCTGCTCAGCCCCTGTGGCCCTGATGGATGCTGGCTCCACCTGGGTCAGCAGGGCAGTAGGCTGCTGTGGCCTCCCCTTCTGCATCCTGCAGGGCTGCTCCTCTCCTGGGTCTGGTGGGGGCAGTCTTCGAGGCTTCTGTGGAGGCCTTGGAGGCAGGGAGAAGACAGGGCTGAGGGCCCTGCCCACCCGAGTGCTCGGGCGCCAGGGGCCCTGGGACCAGGCCTGTGGGTGCTCAGCTCTACCTCTTTCCAGGACCCGCACACCAGCCTGCTCCCACGGTCCCCTATCTAGAGGATTCTGGGGGCATAGCTTGTACTAGCAGACCCTTCGCCAGCCTTGGTCACCTGTACGTTCTCTGTGCCGACGATGGGGCTCTTTTGGTCTTCTGCCGTCTGCTGCCTGAAAGGCAGAGTCACAGGGTCTGAGGCTGGCCCAGTGCCCCAGGCCCGCCGCCCCCAGGATGGCTTTGGGGTGAACTTTAACATCTTTAGACAGGCGTGCGCTCTCTCCCTCACCACAAACCAGCTTCTCTTCGCTGGGGAACCTGCTGCTTTACTCTTTTGCGTCTCTGCCCGGATTAAGGCATCTGAGTTTGCGACTCCACTCCAGAAGCTAACACAGGCTGGCAGAGGCCCAGGGAGAAGTAGGCCTCAGAGTCCCAAAATCAGGGCATGGGAAGGAGGAGGATAGTCCAAGGTGGGGCTGTGGCCCACCTTAACCCAGGTTCCCCGGAGGGAAGGATCTCTTCCTCCAAACTATGCAAGTTTACAAACCATAGTTTACAGATACTCCAGGAAGATGCAGCCCAACGGTCACGTGACACTTCAGCCAGGCCCCTCCCCAGATACCTCTGCATCTTCTCTTTCTCTCTGTTTCCAGTCTCCTGCCGGCACCCCTTCCCTCCTCTGGCCCTGGCCCATTCCCAACTGTTCACTCCTTCCTAATCGCACCCTTCTAGGCCCTGGGCACTCCCCTACTTGGCCCCCCCTCAAGGCAGGGCAGGCTCTTGAGGGCCTGCAAGCCTGGGCTTTCACCTGACAGGAGCCTTGGCATCAGCAGGTCTGGAGTCTGACCAGGGCCCCAGCTGTGGCTCCGCCTCTCCCTTCCCTTTCTCCCTGACTGCCCTTTCCACGCCCATGTCCTTCCCCACATTCTGAATTCCCTTCCCTCCTTTGCTGCCATCCCGCCTCTTCCAGACGCTTCCCCACATTGCCTGTCCTCCCCAACGTGGGGAGGCTTGTGCATTTGTGTGCGCATTTATTGCGTGTGTCTGGCTCACAGGCCTGTGCGTGTATGTGTGCTTGTGCACACGGCATGTGTGGGACTGTCCGTGGGCAGATGTACGGATGTGTGTGCCTGTGTGATGTTAGGGGTCAGCGGATGGGGGTGCGTGTGTGCGTGTGTCTGGACCGCATGGGGAGGTGCGCCATTACGTACGGGCTCTCCCCTACATTTTGAGACACCTCCAGCTCAAGGCTGTGGCCCTGGATGGCCAGTCCTTTGGCTGCTCTCTTCCCTTCCTTCGAGCCCCTGGACACCATCCCTTCCCTGAGCAGGAAGAACCTTTTTCAGACTCACCTCCTCACCTGCCCAGCCCACCTCCAGGAGGCTCTCTCCTAAGATGATCCCATCATGCCCCTGCCTCTAGGCCAAGAGGAAGCCCCACATCATGACCTAAGAAGCCTGAAGCCTCAGAGAGGGCACCGAGGCCTCCCTGAGACTGGTCACGAGTCTCTGCTGACCAGCTGAGAGCTCTGGACGGGTGTGAGTGAGGTGAAACAACCCGTGGGGAGTGAGTAGGGGCCAAATAGGGCTGGCAGAGCCCTTGGGGGTGGGTTGGGCAGGTGGGGCTAGGGTAGCTAAAAAAAGGGGGGGGTGGCATCCCTAAAAAATCGAGACCAGGACGCCGCGGCCAGGTGAGCTCACTAGTCCGGGAGCGTTTGCACAAAAAGTCTGAGCCGGGGGCAGCACTGGAGGCTTTACTGGTTTTGTCTAGTCATTTCTCTGGGGAAGAGGGGGACGACACCTTAAAATGGATTTTCAGCAATAATGGACTCCCTTTCCTGGTTCCTGGCAGTGAGCTGCAACGTAAAAGAGAGAGTGTCACTTGGGGCCCAGTGGGAAGGTCCGGGAGAGGGGTGATCCCAGAGGCCTCTGCGAGGAGGGCCCTGGGGGTAAGAGGGCCTCTTCCTGCTGCACGCTGATGGGCAGCTGACCTTCTGTTGTGTCTGTTTGTCACCGGGAAGAAAGGGGTGCTGGAGAACCCTGTTCCCTCACATTCCAGTCCACGGTGTGTCCCGGGCCCAGGGCCATCAGGTTCTCAGCAGGGCAGATGCTAGCCTGAGCATTTCTGACGAAGGTGACCAAACTTCCTAATGCTAGAATGGCCCTTCCCATTTCGAGCCCGGGTCCTTGCCCGAGCCCAGGAGTGCTCACCCTCCATGGTCCCCACGCCTCCTCCAGCCCTGGCCTTAGCACTTCGCCTCAGTCCACCGGAACCCTGTTTCCAGCAGCCTTTATGAGGTTACTGAGATTGCGACGTCACAGGCCACCCCATCCCCTCCCCCGGCCCCTCATTCCACTTTCCCAGCTGTGTGAAGAGTGGGCCCACCCACACGTCCTAGCCCACACCCTGCTCTTTTGGGAAGCTGTGGGCCAGCCTCGCTTACTCTTCCACGGCTCCTTGAGGCGGAGGCGATATGGTGGGTGCCTGGAGAAGCTTCACTTCCCCCTCGATGGTGGCCCTCTTGACCCCCGGCTTGTTGAAGTCAAGGTAAGGGTGGGGGAAGCTCTTGTCTTCCTGCTTCCAAGCTTTCTGTGGCTCCCCTGCTTCAAGTGGTTTCTCTAACCATTCCTTAGCGAGCTCTTCCTTCTCTGGCTGGTCCACGGCCGGTGGCACGGCAGGATCTGTAGAAGGCGCCTCGGCCTTCTGCGGTGGAGCTTTGATCATATGCTCCAATTTGGGCAAGTCCATATTGCTGGAGGAGGCCACGGCCAAGGAAGATGCAAAGTTGATCAGCTCTGCCAGGCCAATGGCTGGTGAGGGACTGGGGGAGGCCGGGTGGGGATCCGGTGGCTGCTGGGCGTCTGCGGCCCGAGGAGCTGGCTGGGCGTGGGGGCTCTGGAGCTGCTGCTTGGAGCACGTGGCGTCCTTGAGGTTGGACTGCTGGTCCTGATGGCTGGTGGCCTTACCTGTACTCTTCTTGTCCAGCTGCCTGCCGACCGCCTGCTGCAGGCTGTGTTCGGAAGCCTGGATGAGTTTGTCTGCCCAGAAGAGGTGCTTGGAGGTCTGCACGCGGATGGAGCGATGGTTGGCGGACGCCCTGCCCTCCTCGGCAGCACTCAGGTAGCTGGAATTGGACCTCACGCTCCACTGGCTGATGTCCTGCTGCGGGAAGGGCTGGAGGAACTCTGTCCTATACTCCTGCTGCTCAGGGTCCTTGGGCTTTGGCTCGGGCTCCAGCTCCACTTTTGGCTTAAGGTCCAGGTCCTCTTTCTGCACAGGCTTCAGTTCTAGCAATTCTTTCTCCGGCTGAAACATTTCAAATGAAGCCGGGGAGGCCCCTGGCCCTGAGGTCCTCCCTGGCACCAATTCCCTGCCCCCCTCTCCTGCCTTCCTCCCTACACTGCCCTACCCCCTCCCTGCTTGCTTCCCCCCCTACACGTGCCACTTTGCAGAGACCTCCCTGGGGCGGGGAGGCGGGAGGGTGGCTGTGCGTGAGCGTGCCCTGTCCAGGGTCCCAGACTTGTCAGGGATTTGGGGAAGACGGGCCTTAAAGAATCCTGCCCCTTACCTACCGCCTCCCCATAAGAGGTGCCCCGCCCACTGTTACCTCAGTCTCCTCTTTTTCTTGTGCCTGCTGGAACTGGTGTTGGGTTATGGTGCCCCTACGACGGAAGGAGACACAGTGGATGACAGGCCTCCGTGGGGTGGGTGGGATGGCTTTAGGAGGATGGAGGTCTCTGGGGGCCTCAAGGCCCCCGGCCTCGCCCCCTGGCAAGATGCCCCCGGCACATCCACTCCCCTCACTGTCCCTGCATCCACCGGAGAGCTATTTTCAGACATTAGTGGGTTTAGGAAGTGCCTGGAGAGCTTGTCAGGCTGCCCCCTGCCCCAAAGAGGGACCCCAGTCAGTTGGAGGTGAGGCCCAGGAGGCTTCATTTTAACCAAGTGTTCCAGTGAGTCAGTGTGGCCAGTGCCCAGAGGCTGGCTCCCTATAGAAGGAGAAGCTCAAGGACAATGCCCTCCTCCTGGCAGATCTGAAAGGCAGAGGTGTGTGTGTGTGTGTGTGTGTGTGTGTGTAGGATCCCCTCAGTTCTTGTTGGAAGTTTGCTGCCATCTGGGCCCCTGCCCTCAGTGCTCAACC